CTATTAGGTGAGTCCCCTTGTAACCACCAACCAGTTGAAAAAGAACTTGGCCATCCGCTGTTGAAGCCCCTCCATGTGCCCCCATTTGATCACAACCTGCTCCTTTGTCTCCATAAGTAACTACTATCTTGATGTGTATAGAAATCTTTTTGCATTTTTTTATGTTTTGATCACTCAAATGAGCATCCCCTAGGCACTATAATTTAGTCTACCACATTGAAAATTTTTCTTTAAAGATTTTATTGGGGAATTGGGGGAGGGGAGCAGTGCTGGGAAATCGGGGGAAGGGGAACAGACAAGTTGCTGTCGGTTTGTTCTTCAGTTTAGTTGTGGAGGACGTTGCTTCACTGGCCCATGTTGGTATTATCATTGCGCTCTTCCAGGATGAGGCAGATTGGTTGCCGGCCTCTGGACGGCCGCTCACAGCAGCTCTTGGCAGCTCACACTGGCTGCCAGCTGCTCACGGTAGCTCACGGCAGCCCACTGCAGCAGGGGCTGCAGCCTACGCCATCTCTGGCGACTCATGGCAGCCCAGCTCCAGGTCGAGCTATTGTTCACCATCTTAGCTGTAGAGGGCAGTGTCACTGGCCCTCATGTGGGATCTGAACCGGGGCCTGCTGCTCAGAGCTGGCGTCCCAAGCCAGCTCTTAACCAATGCGCCACTCGGCCGGCCCGAAAATTTTTTGATATATCTTTTAAACGTCATTTAATCCATAGAGCCCCCCCCCTTTGTCCTTTCCTTTTCTTACCATTTATCTATTGAAGAACCTGGGCCTTTGACCTGCAGAGTTTCCCACAATCTGGCTTTTGCCTCATACCGCGCTATTGAAGGTAGAGTGTCTGCTTGTTTCCCTTCCCGAGTTGGTGACTGTTGATACTTAATACTTATACCTACTAATTCACTGGGGACAGCAACATGGTGATACTCTCATTCTATCACTTGTTTTCCTTTATTAGTCAGAATACATTATAAAAAGGCGTTTCCCTTCATCTGTCCAGTGGGACAGCTTGTCTAGGAAAGGCAGGATAATGCTCAATTCTTTCCCCTTACTTACCAGTTTGCAAGACAATGAGGTGCTTCCCTCAAATTCTCTGAGGATGACAAATTCTTTTTTTCTTTTTTCATATCACAAGAACTTGTGGATATAAACACATTTGGTGGATTTCAAGCCACTGAAATTATTGTATTTATTAAAGTTCAAATTGTTCTGTCTTTGGCTGGTGGGAGCCTCTTTGGGTTGGCCCCTGTGTCCTTTTGATGTGACCCTTCATATTTGATAACTTCCTTGTGGCCCTGTTTCATTGTAAAGAACTTCACCTTGGTGCTTGCTGACTGCTTTGCAGGGATCTTTGTCATATGTCTCCCACTTCCAGAAGCCTCTCGGCCTAATGGGACAGGACTGTACATGGCCTCTGGTTCCACCTGCTTAGCAAACAGCTCTAGGAACACATGATTTCTTACAACTGTTAGGCAGAGATTTTAAAACCTGAGGGAGGGCATGCTGGTGAGTTTGTCCAATTTAGCAAGAAGATTATTATGCTACACCTTATTCAAGTTATGGGGTGACTGTTCCTTTCTCCTTCTGCTCTCATGCCTGCCTTCCAGCTCTGCTGAAGTAGCTGCACTTACACATGCTGCTTTCTCAGCCCTTCTTCAGTCTCAGCTTAGCCATCATTTCCTTCTGGAAGCTTCCGTAGACCTACCAATCTGATAGAAATGTCTCTCTTGTGTGTTACCATAGCATTTTGGCTTTCCCTTATCATAGTACTTATCTCACTGAGTGCAATTCTCTGTTTATCCATCTGCCCACTTCCCCTGCTGCCCACGAGACTGAGTGGCAGGGCCTGTTGCTTGTTCTCTTCCAATGTCCATCCCATCAACAGATAATTAATTGTTAAATGAGTAAATGAAACCCAGATGTGTCCATGTCATTCTCCTCTTTGCATGCCCACCGTTCCTGGTCGATGGCTCTACTAGCCAACTCATTACTCTGCATTGAATCTGCCCATTCCATATTTCTAATCCCCACCTCTTCACATTTCCCTACCAAAGTGGCCTTTGGAAAGTCTGAGATAACCCCAGGCTCCGCATGAAACCTTTCCTTAGCAGGCAGACATGACATTCTCTCACCCCCAGGCCCCTTTCCTGGGCCCGCATCATTGCAGGAACACTGGAACTGGATCTTACTTTCCTGTTTGCCTCAGTTGCTGCGAGAAGCCCAAATTTCCCACCTCCCTTGCTCCAAACCCCCTAGAGTGATCCTTGAGCTCCTTTCCTCATGTTTAGTGGCTTCGCTCCATTCAATATTATGTTTGTGCAACATGAATTTATTGAATCATTAATTTTTCTTTCCCTCCTAGATGACTCCCATGAACATACAAACATGCTGTTATTTCTCCTGTCTTAATAACAAGAACGTAATCACACTGCTTTGCCCCGCTTCTGAGTGGCCAAAGATCTCCGCAGAGCTTTACACTGTCTGTAAAGGCAGAATAATGAAGCCAGGGCTCACCTCCCAGGCACTGTTTCCCCCTCCCTGTCTCAACCCAACACGGAGCAAGTGCCCCCTGCCACAGGCTCAGAAGGACTTTTCATTCCGAGGCATCCTTACAGATCCTTTCTGAAGCTTGGCTTTCCTCTCTTTGGTGCTTTTATCAGATTCTCTGCTGCCTCAGATCTCTGGTTCCCTAGGCAGGGAGGGAGCTAAGAACACTCCAAACGGTGGCTTTTCCTTTTCCCCTGGCCTCTTGGTCAAAGCTGGTGGGCTTATAAACGTGTCAGGCATAAATGAAGCTAGAGATACAAAAGACTTCCTGTCCCAGTGGTCACCATACCTCGTGGCAGAACCCCACACTTCCTGCTGTCACACATGCCACTGCACAGGAGCGCAAACCACAGAGCTGTGAATCTCTCCACTTGCATTTGCCAACTGCAACATTGAGCATCTCTGATGGAAGAAGCCCTGCTGTCAACCTGTTAGCCTGTTACTTGTCTGTGCTCAGTTCTCCAGCAGAAAGCAAGGACATGCCAGCCAAGCGGGCTGGCTGGGTGGCATGCACTGAGCGAAGGGCACCTAAATATAAGATCAGGAATTTGAGGACAGTCCTCACCACTTCTCCCTGGCTCCAGGAGATAGTAGGGAAGCTTAGAGATACTGAGGACTCCTGTGTTCAGTTGCAAATACCTCTTTCTCCAGGCCTCATACCCTGAAAGGTAGCTAGCTATCCATGTATCTGTTGGGATTTGCATGTCTTCTTGGTACTGTCTGCAGCAAACATTCTAAGTCAAAGGCGAGTGGGGAGCCAAGGAGGCTTAATTCCTCAGTAGCTCCTGTGACATGCAAAGCAGCCTGCCATTACCTCAGTGCTGGTTTCTTTGGAGCATCATTCTCTTCTTTTTGGAGCATCGACTAAGTTTTGCCCGATCGTCTTACCTCAGGACTTGGCTCTTTCTAAGATTCATATTGCACTAAGGAAAGTTTCTTTAGTTATAGTGTTTCTCAACAGGGCACGGACAGCTTTGACAGACAACTCCTGCCCTACCCCTAGCTTTTTTGACAAACAAAACACACCAATTTTCAGATACCCTGTAGCACATTTCAATCTGTGGTTGAGAAACACTGATTTAGGGGTGAATGCATGTGTCCTCCATCATTAAAAAATAATCCATTGACCCCAGAGCTCTCCCCTTACAGTCAGACATTGCTAAAGAATTGGCTACGCTCCCCACCTCTACTTTCTTACTTCACATTCATTATTGATCCTTTCACCCTCACTTGAGTTCAGATCCATTCCTATAGCAGCTCAGTTGTGTGACCTTGAGCACATTAGCTAATTTCTCAATTTTTTTCATACATGAAATGGACATAAAAATAGTTACCCCTCTAAAATACCTCTTGGAAGATTATAAGATGTTGAGGAAAGAAATTGAAGGAGAGACAAATAAATGGAAGCATACACCATGCTCGCAGGTAGGAAGAATAAACGTCGTTAAAATGTCCATACTACCCAAAGCAATCTATAGATTCAATGCAATCCTTGTAATTGGGGAAAAAAAGTTACATTTCCTATGAGATAGTTTTGGAGATTAAATGGGTTATGGTAAAACACTTAGAAAATGGTTTTCTCACGTGACAAATGTAACTAGCCACATGTTACTTAATTCTCTTAGAATTCTACTTGTATTTTAATCATCCTTGGGAGTTTTATAAAAAGACAGTCATGTCCAGTGCACATAATGGTAATCCTCTCTCCTCGCCAGTGTATATGATTTTTTTTCTTGTTGAGCAATTCTCTAGAAGTTAAATGACAATGTTGGATGATACTAGTTGGGTACTTGTGATTTGCATGTGATTTTAATGTAGGACTTTGGCTTTTGGATTGAAATAGATAGTGGTAAGAAAGCGTCCTTCTTGATCTTCATTACTAAGATTTTTTTTTAAACCTGCATAAAAATATATTTGTATCATATGCCTTTGCAGCATTGATTGTGAGGATTGTATAATTTTGGTCCTTTGATGTGTGAGTGTGAATCCCATTACTACATTCCCCAATAATGACCCATCCTATAATCATTGAATAAAGCAGACTTGAAGATGGTGCACTATTCCTTTAATCCAGCGATTCTGAACCTTCCTAATGCCGCGAACCCTTAATACAGTTCCTCATGTTGTGGTGACCCCCAACCATAAAATTATTTTCGTTGTTACTCTATAACTGTAACTTTGCTACTGTTATGAATTGTTATGTAAATATCTTTTTGTTTTCCGCTGGTCTTAGGTGACCCCTGTGAAAGGGTTGTTCGACCCCCAAATGGGTCGTGACCCACAGGTTGAGAACCGCTCCTTGAATCCAAAGCTGGGTGGGTGGACTTTGCATTTCATTGTTAGAATGGCTGATTTACTTCATTTTGTCCTTGTAAATATTAATAGGTTCTTGGTAGACTCTGAGAAGTAAGAGCAATTGATCCAGTAACTCCTTGTTGAATTGCGTCTCTGCAGGCATGGCGGAAGCGCTGGTTTGTCCTCCGGCGGGGCCGCATGAGCGGCAACCCTGATGTCCTGGAGTACTACAAGAACAAAAACTCCAGCAAGCCCATCCGCGTGATAGACCTCAGTGAGTGTACAGTGTGGAAGCATGCAGGCCCTGGATTTGTTCGGAAGGAATTTCAGAATAATTGCGTGTTTATTGTTAAGACGACTTCTCGTACATTCTATCTGGTGGCCAAGACCGAGGAAGAAATGCATGTGTGGGTACGCTGCATCAGTAAGGTCTGCAACCTCGGCCACCTGGAGGATGTTGCAGGTGAGAGCAGAGTCGGGGTACCTGTGTGCTAAAGGGGTGGCCCTGGACACTGCTCATGCGCTGGAGAGCTACTATGAGAAAACTGTTCAAGGTGCCAAGCCTACCTCCTTTCACAGTGCTTTGACAGGCTAATTTATATCAGAACTGTTAGCACCCACCAAGTGCTATAGCAGAAATTGCTCCCTTTCACCTGGTTTTAGGCTTCAAGTCCAAATGTACTACACACTGAGCATTACAGGCAACGTCAATGGCTTCGAAGCCACTCCATGCCTTTGCTCTCATCAGCTACAGAGAACACATTCAGGGAAAAGTCAAACGTGGGTGAGGATGTCCTGTAGGGTTCTTTTATTTATTCCCCATCCAGCTGTCGATGATGATGATTTTCTAGAAATATGAAATATCACCATCTTTCAAAAATCCGAAGAATTCCAGCTTTTCTGTTCCCTATTGTGTTGCTTAGGACTAGCCCAGGGGTCAGCAAACTGTGGCTCGTGAGCTGCATGCGGCTCTTTGGGTACGTTCCGTCTCAGAAGTTTGCCAACCCCTGGAAGAACCCATCCTGTCCCTCACAACAATTTAAAAATTACTCGAGAGCCATAAATCTATTTTTACATAATCACCATGATGTGAATAATATCCTTTAATATTTTATAAATGAAACTATGATAGTTTTATTTTCATTTTCAATTTTACTTCAGAGCCACATGCAACCAGATGCTGTGAATAAGCAAGAGCCGCATGTGGCTCATGAGCCCGTTTGCTGACCCCTGGCGGCTCTTCCGTCTCAAAAGTTGGCCGACCCCTGGACTAGCTGGTAGAAAGACAGAACTTGGCTACTTTATCGTAGGCAGGGAAGAAGTCCTCGTATCCCCAATTGGCTCAAGGTCTCTGCAAGGTCTATTAGCTCCATGTTTGCTCTGGGCTATTTCTGGGCAGTGGGAGCAAATGACCCTTGAGGCTCTTCGTCCCCCTCTCTCTCTCTCTCTCTGCCCTTTCTATGTAATATTCCAGGTATAATGCACCTAGGATTACAATTCACTCCCCTTCATGTTTGTTGTTGTTGTTGTTGAGCACCATGTCCTGATCCTCAAACCATAGAACTTGAACTTTCCATCTGATTTATTTTAGCCTCTTAGTCTAGTAGACAAAGACTTACTTGTAACAGTTTTTCACCATTCCCACTGTTAACTGTATGCTTATCATCGGCCACCGCAATACCCACATCAAACACTAGGTGGTGACATACAGTCAGTGTTGCATCTCTCTAGGAAAAGCACAGGAGTGTTTGCTTCAACAGATGAAGCTTATTATTAGCAAAGCCCCAGTGAATGCGCACTGGCTGGATGCTGCAAATAAACAGAGGCTCTCTGGCTAACTCCTCCAGCCTCGCTGTTCACTCTTCACCACCTTAGTCCCTAACTTCAGCCCAAACTACAACAGATACATATTTGTGTGTCACGTTTCCTCTGTTTATTTCCTCATCCAAGAGTTACCCTAAAACATGGATCCATAACATGTTTTCCAATTTTCAAAGAGGAACAGGAGTGAGTAAGGCACCAGGCAGAAGACAGAAAGCTCTGGCATGGAGTTGGAGGAAGCCAGAAACCCCCTATGACCTCTTTCATTCTCTGTATCTCCCCTTAGTTTTTAGGAGGATGTAAGGGCAGAGTCTTCTTCATCTGAGAACCACACCCAAAGGGCTTTCTTGTGGCTTTTCAATATAGTGTTTGGTTCTGTCTCCAGCAGCCATACATTGTCAACACAGTGTGCTTACTCTGGCCAGGAGCTCTGTTAAATGTGTTTTTGTTTGTTTGTTTTCCCATATTAGTTGCAGACCAATTCTTTGGCATATGTACTATTACCATCTCCACTTTACAGAGTAGGAAACTTGCAGCAGGAAGGTAATTTGCCCAAGGTCACAAGAGCTAGATAGTAGAGCTTGGACTTGTACCCAGGCAATTCTGGGCCACACTGACTGAGGAATTCTGAACTTCTGCCAACTTGGTTCAAGGGGAAATTAAAGCAGGCTTTTCACTGGGAGTTTCTCAATGTTGTGCTCTTCAAGAAATGTGGGCTTTACCAGCCATCACAACACCCCCCATTTTTCCTTCCTTTTCCTTCTAAGTCATTGACAGTCAATCATTAACAGTATTCTTTATTTATGTGTTACTTGTCTGTCTCCTCTGGTGGACTGTAAACTCCAGTAATGTCAGACTCTTTGTCTCGGCTGTATGGACAAAGTTAGAACAGATCAAGGCATGTAATAGGTACAAACTAGGTATTCTATGTGGACGTAAATAGACATATATCTGTATATGCATATATGCAGAAATGCATGTGTAAGTATATACATATATATTGGATATGCATAAATATATATATATATATATATGTGTGTGTGTGTGTGTATATATATGTATATTTGTTGAGTGAATAAACAGTGATGACGGGCTGCGGCTGAGGGCCATAAAGAAGCTGTGTGTAGACTATCTAATAGGAGATTTTTATGCCAAGAATGCTTGGTTTTTCTATTTTTTTTTTTTACTCTTAATTGATTCAACACTTCAGTCTTGGAACATTGGCCTTTTTTCCCAGACATTGTTTATAGCTTGGGGAAATGGTCTCCTCCATCAGCACAAACACCGGCTGTGATTTGCATCTTCTATTTGGCTTCTTTAGATGCTGTTTGAGAAATTGTGAGTGAGTGTTATAGCCATTCTTAAATGCTAACCTGGGAAATGATTTGTCCAACAGATCCCGTGGAGAGCCTCTCTCACATGCCCTCCTCCCTGCAGCCATCCCCTGCCAGCTCCCTTCACACCGCCCATGCTGTCAGCTCCTCCTTGCCAAAAGATGACCCAAGTACTAATACCGTAGCCACTGAGGAAACCAGAAGTGAGTCAGAGTTTCTCTTCCTTCCTGATTATCTGATTCTGTCCAACTGTGAGAGTGGAAGACTGCACCATGCCAGGTATGCTTATGCTCCGGACTCTGAGCCAGGCCTTCTAGCCCAGTCTCTTCTGCAGAGCCCATCCTGCCTCCTCGTTCAGGGTCTGCCACTGATATGTGCTCAGTGTACCCAGCCAAATTAGTCTGTTTAGCGGTAGCATCTTCTAGTGGGTGTATCTGCCCTCACTTATCTTCCTGCTGCTGACATGTGGGGGATGGATCACTGTCAACCACTATGAAGGATGAAGCATGCACTAAACAAAATGACTCATGTATTTCAGTATTGTGGTTTCCATTTCTAACCTTGTATTTTCATATGCAGCTGACACAGGATGAAACAAAAATCAACAAACCGTTTTTTCCTGCATCCAGGGGTTGGTGTGACTGAGGGTTGTAGAGGGAATGTGGCTATACAAGTGAAGTAAATGGCGATATTCGAGGAATGGGAATGAAGCCAGCGTGTGTTTTGTGGTGGGTGGATGGCTTTCTTCTTCAGACTTCTGCCAAGGGTATATCAGTAGTGTCGCTCTGACACCTACTACAGCTGCCGGGGACCTGCTACATTTCACTCAAATTGACACGCTTTTCTTCCCTCAGTCTACCCAGCAGATGTGAAAGCTGCTCAAACTCAGAGCGTTCATTGGAACAGACTTCATCCGATGATGTTTTTGTTGACTGTGTGCAGCAGCTGCCCTCCAGTAACTTGGTCCACCCCTCACCTCGTGGGAATGGATCTCAGGAGGCAACTTCCACAAGGCCTCAGGCTGCCCTGATCTGGAATAGAGATATCAATGGGCCGTCCAGGGACCACTTTTCTTCACCACTACTGGAAACTTCCTTAAATTCCACCATTCAGGTAGATAAAAACCAAGGTTCCCTGCCCTATAGGTCAAAAGAACTAGACATTATATCCATCACGCCACCTCCCCGTCCCCCTAAGCCAATCCATCTCTGTGAACGGCGCCAAGAGGAGCAGCTCCTGTGGAGTAGGCATGGCAGCATCAAGAAGCCAGAATGCACCATGGCACCAAGAAGAATCTCTCTCTCTGGTTTAGATACCATGAGAACCTGGAAAGGTAAGTGTTGGATGCTAATGTTCAGGTACAGAGAGAAGCCTGGCTCCTCTTAATTCCTCGGGTCCCAGTAGATGCTGAAAGAAGTCAGAGCCCTGGTCCCTTAGCCATGTCCCTGCCCATGTGATGGGCTCCCCTCTGAGACTAAGCTCCTGGTGTTTGTCGGGAGTCACCAGGGGACCCACTTGGTACGGAAGGTGATCTCTTTTGCGTCAGCTCTGCTCTATTCTATTCTTTACAACTCACATGCATAGTGAGCCCAGAGACAATATATTGACCATAGCTCTTCTACTTTCAACAATCCCATCGGCCTCATTCATCATCCCACCTGACATGCATTTTCCAAATCTAACTGGCTACACACTAAGGATGTGGCTTTTACCAAGCTCTCACCATCAACATGATGCTAACTAACCCAGCCCCATCAGCTTGGAGACCCTCCTGGAGCCCTTTTTTTGCCTTTTTCTGTAAAGCCCTTTATTCTCATGGGGTTGCTCCCCTCCCCCCCCCCTCTCTTTCTCCCTCTCTCTTCATCCAAATACAATCACTCCTACTCTGCTACCTATAATGCCATATTTTAAAGGAATTTTAGAAGTTTAAGGAATGCAAACTCATTTCAAATTGTCTAAATTTCTGATTCTGACTGAGGAACTGAGTCATTGGCAAAGACCTCCCCCAATGTCTCTACTGATGTGACCATTACATGTTACTTCCTTCTGACATCTTTGATGAAATGAGTATAAGCCGATTACACAAAGGGTCATAATGGGCTAACATGTGAACAGTAGACAAAAAGGGAAAACTGAAAGAGTAGGCAAGCAGATATTAGAGAGTAAAATGAATAAAATCAGTAGAATAATAGAATATGAACATGAGCCTTAATGCAAAAACAGATCTGATAAAGCAGAGGGAACACGTCAAAGTGATTGTTCTGCCTTCCCCATTGAGGTCCACCTGCAATCGATGTTTATGCATGGAGGCAGTGGGGTCAAGGTTCATTATGGAGGAGTATTGCATCATATCTATAGATCAGTTTGTGAATATTTGATATACTTCCTTTCCAATTCACGAACAGGAAATATCCTTCCATTTATATAGGTCTTGATTTCTATGACAAGATCATTGCTGTGTTAAGAATAGACTGATGGGAAGCACGTGGAGAAGCAGGAAAACCAGTTAAAGATGAGTATAGTAATCTAGGCAAACTGTCATGTAACTGGGACTAGAATCATAGCTTTTGAACTTGTTAAATGTGTTTGGATGCTCAGTATATCTTGAAGAGACAACCTCACTCATGGAATGTTCAGTAGAGAAAGAATGGAGTCAATGCTGACTTCCTTCCGTTTGGCCTGAGAAACTGAGACGGGGAACAAGAAACACGGGGAACAAACAAGTTGGACAGTGGGTGGAGCTCAGGACATTGTTTGTGGATAGGTTAAGTTTGAGGTGTCTGCTAGATGTCCTAGTGGAAATATCAAGTAAATGAGTCGACCTGTGTGTCTGAAGGTCAGTGAGAGAGGCCTGGGCTGGAACTATGAATTTGGGAGTTGTCAGCGTATAGGTAGTAAATTCAAAGGATTAGATGAGATCACCAAAAGAGAGAATACAGACAATAGAAAAGAACCAAGGACTGAACCTGGAGCCCTATAACATGTAGAAATTTTGGACAAGAGGCGGAACCAGCAAAAGAAACTAAACACGTGATCAGTGAGATAGCAGGAAATCCAGCAGAGTGAGATTCCGGCAAACTCATTTTCCAGGCGTGTGTTTTATAGGAGTGGATGTGAATCCATTCTTAGTCCCTTCCTTTACCCCGTTCCCTTCTTCACACTTATCATAAAGTCCTTAAACTGTCTGATGTTGATGCAGGCTTTCCTCTATATTGGTGTTATGTGGTGACATCAGTAGGGATCTGGTAATGGAAAGGGAGTTAGGGGCCTGGGTTCACATATGCAAGTCCCACATCCTTTATTAACAACATCAAATAGTTTCTAGGATTTAGTAAGTGGTTTATGTTCTATGCACTTTACTGTCCTTTACATGCACTAACACTTCTAACCTTTGAAGCAGTCCTGTGGAATAGATCCTATTATTGGTCTTATTTTACAGATTAGGAAATTGAGACCCAGAGAATGTAAGTAACTTGTCCAGTGTCACACAGCTAATAAGTGGTGGAACAGGTATTTTAAACTAGACAGTATGACTCCAGAGCAGCTTTTAACCAGTACTTCTGCATCCTTGGAGATATAAAAGCATAGATATATACATAGATATAAAATAGTGTGTGTGTGTGTGTGTGTGTGTATATTACATATATATTACATATTTTTAATTCCATCAGCCTCCATCACATCTATCTGAGCTGGGAGTTATTCTCTCACTTTAAGATGACGTAGACAAAAAAAGTTGAGAAACCATATGACTTCACTCATATGTGGAACATAAAACTGAAAGCAACAGATGAACAAGACAAACAAACAAACAAAAACTCATAGACACAGACAATAAATAGTTCAGTGGTTACCAGAGGGTAAGGGTGGGGGTGATGTGGTAGATGAGGGTAAATGGGGTCAAATATATGGTGATGGAAGGAGAACTGACTCTGGGTGGTGAGCACACAATGTAATATATAGATGATATATTACAGAATTGTACACCTGAAACCTATATAATTTTACTAACCATTTGTCACCCCGATAAATGTAATAAAAATAAATTTAAAAAAGATGATGTTGACTCTTTGGTTTATTTCTCAGAGGCAACCTGACTTTTCACACCTCCACGTTCTTGGGGGACAATTTTGTCTGGTCCCCATGTGCTAAGAACATTTGCTGGACTTCTCAGCAGCACTCGCCATCGTTGGCCATTTTTCCCTCCCTTAGGTATAATGGCACCATGCCCCTCTACTGTCCTCATTACTCTATGGTTGCACTCTCTCAAGATGAGCCAGGGCTCATCTTCCTGCTTTTAGAATAGTGGGATTCTCTAGGGTTTTAGACTTCAACTTCTCTCAACACTTGCAACCTAGATAATCTCATCTACTCTTATGGTTTTGACTGCCATCTCTAATCTGCTAATTCCCCAAAATTATATCTCATTTGAGTCTTGGCCCATATATCTTGCTGCCTTCTGGACCTCTTTCAATTCGACAACTATTCTAAATGTTTATGTCACACTGTTTATTTGTCACATCCATCTGACAACTTTTGATTCCTGTATGTATTCAACTTTCCTCTCTCGCCATGCCCATACCTGAGTAGCTAATTGTTGCTGCAGAAAATCACAGTCACTAGTTCATGGTCACAGATCTTGAACGAGCCCTCAATGCTGCTCTGCAATACTATCACTTTTCTGTTCCTGCCATTCTCCTGCTCATCACAAGGAATATCTCACAACTCTCCTATCCTGAAACCTCCAGCTCTGTCTCTGCCATCTCTAAGCTCAGAAAATTCATGTAATAAATGCAACAAGCATTTGTTCATTACTTGCTACATCTCTTCCTAATTCACAGGGAGAACTATAGCTATCATACAGAAACTTCTTCAAAATCTGCTCTGATTTCCATCTGTTGGGGAATGTGTTCTGACTGCCCAACTAGACTTAATAGCAAGCCTTAAGTATAGAAACTGTTATGCTTCTCTGCCTCTCCAGAGCTGAGTACAGGGCCCTGACGTGCATAGGGATTTGTACCCTACTTTAAATTGATGTTGTCCTGCACTTCTCACCACCCCACCTTGTTTCTTGCAGCTGATGTAGAAGGCCAATCCTTAAGACACCAAGACAAGCGGCTTAGTTTAAATTTGGTGAGTTCGGCACTTGAGCTTCTAAGCCTCAATTTTACCAAAAATAGCCTGACCTACATATGTTCCCTTTAAGTCTTTAGAGACTTGGCACTCTGAATCTCTGGGGACTCTTCAGTCTCTCCTTAAAGCTTGAACTTGTCTGGGAACTACTGGACTTAAGTGTTCTGTAAGGACCCTGCCAATTCTAATGACCCAGACACTTGCCCGATAAGGTAGCGAGCTACTTAAGGCATCACTTTGTACATAAAGCATTTGCATCAGTTCATAACCTTCTGTCTTCCAGCATCAGATAGAGGAAATTCATCACTTACCTCACACAATAAGTCCAGAGGCAAAGCTTGAGTAAGAGGCTTGTCTGACTTCCCTAAGGCAGTTGAGTTACTCTTGGATAATTTGCAATAGAAACCCTATTTGTAGCTCAGGCTCCCCACTGGGAACAGTTTCCATGACTATTCTGTGGTTCCCAACCTGTACCTGTTCTCTTGCAGCCATGCAGGTCCTCCCCAATGTACCCTACAGCCTCATCCAGTGCCGAAGACAGCTATGTGCCCATGCGCCCCTGGGCCGGAGCCTCTTGTCATGGATCCCAGTGCAACTCCGATGACTACATCCCAATGAACTCAGGAAGTTTTTCCAGCCCACTGCCTAAGCTACCTGCCAACCTGGAGCCTCCCCCAGTGAATAGAGATCTCAAGCCTCAGAGGAAACGTAAGCCATTTGACTAAGCGCTCTGTGCAGGAGAGGGGAGCAAGGTCCAGGAAGCCAATGTGGAGAAGTTGCCTTCCTGACCCTCTCTGGGAAGGAAGCACTATAGAAAATATTCTAGATGTCTGGGAAACAAGGGTAAGGAGAAATGGCTGCAATTGAATGGGAAGGGCTGCAGAACCATGCTGCCCTAGATTGTCGTGATAAAAGAAGTCAGGGGAATTACGGGCACCATGGCCCTGCAAATACAGCCTACAAAGCCAAGTTCATTCCAGAGGACTCATCTTTGGCTGCTTCTCTAATAAAGGCTCAGAAATAAGCGATAATAGATGGGAATGAAACCTACCTGGCATCTCTTCATTTAAACAGCACTCGAATGTAACCACAGTGCCCTCCTTCTATAAAGCAGCCAAGAATGACTTTGGCCACTAACTTCTGAATGTCAGGGCTGGTCATATGCAACTTATCACTCACTGCCCTGTGCATGCCTATCAACAGAGGTATTTGGGGTGGGAGAGGACTTTAGCAGTGTACCGTCTGGCTCTCATGTGCACAGAGCTCCTTGGAGCTTTTGCGTTTCTCCCAGGCAGCTTCTCTGGTCTGGTAAGCAGTGTGGACAGGCAGGGAGAAAGGAGAAGAGGGAAAGAAGAAAAGCAGGTCAAAGTAACTTTGTAACTTCATTCTTAGCCACTGTCGCTTGCCTAGTAGGACTATGTGATTCCATGGAAGTATTTGGTACAATGACTATGACCTGACATTGCCTTCAGGTGGCCATGCCCAAAGCTGGTAAATAAGTCCCTTACTCATGCCCTGTCCATTCCAGCCTCACCCCTCCAGTTTGAGTCAAATCACATTTACAGTGTGTTTGCTGTGAATGTAGTGCTATGCTAGGCACTGGTGAGATGCAACGATGAGGAAGCTAGGAGGGTTCTTCAGTCTAAGGGGGAAGAAGATATTTAAAAACCATCTGGAAGAAGAAGAATAAGAATCATGAAGTCAGTACTAAATAGGAGAACAGACCTTATCTTATGAGGCTCAGAGGAAATAACCATTCATTCTGGCCAGAAACAATTTAACAAGGACCTGTCACGTTGAGGTGTATATTATTATTTTGTTCAGTTAATTTTCTATAGCAATGCTGTCCAACAGAACTTTCTGTGATGATGGAAATGTGGCTGTTGAACACTTGAAATGTGGCTAGTGCAAGTGAGGAACTGAATTTTAAATTCTACTTAATTTTAATAAATTTAAATAGCCACATGTGGCTAGTAGCTACCATAATACATTGACACTGCAGCTCTACAGAAACTGACGATTGGAGGCATGAAGATATAGGATGGCCTTGGGGTTGGAGATTCACTTGGTGGGTGTGAAGATGGACACCTGGGCCAGGAGAGGCTGGTTTTCTGACAGGTGTGGATGCAAGGATGACCTTGGGGCCCAACCAGGAGAGGGCAGATGTTGAAGCTTGGAGGTGGCTGGTTGGTGAACCCCATGCCAGGGTGTCATGCCACTAGGACAGACCTTCTCCGCAGAGACTATGACTCATATGTCCTTTCTAGCTCACCACCTTGCCTAGGTCTGAGGCTCCTGGGAAACTGCAGCAGGAGAGTCACTATACTAGTTTCTGATGATATGGGCTGTGTGTGTGTGGAGGGGGGGAGGGGTGTTCCACAGTCTCTACCCACGAAGTTTGGTGGAGGAAAGATAATACAAGTAGTCTGGTCAAGGCAGTGATAGAGGAATACATGCATGACCAACTCAGAGAGGTAGGCCACTGAGGTGGAGCAAGGGTTAGATGCCAAATGCTTCTCTAGATGCCGTGGCTATTGTAGTGAACAAATCAGAAAAAAAACCCTGTCCTCCCAGAGCAGTCAGCCTAGACCTGAATGAAATAATCACAGATGAATGTGTCATCACAAACTGGGAGGAGTAATGTAAAGAGTAAGTACAGGAACTCATGAGATCCCATGATGTGGAGCCTGATCTTGTCTGGAGGTCAAAGAAGGCCTTCCTCATAAGCAGGGGACATTGAGCTGATATCTAAAGGCAGAGATGAAGAAGAATATTCTAGGCGGAAGTACCATCAGGTAGACAACGGACTGGAGGTGGAAAAGATTAGAATCTGGGTGTTCATTTCTGCCTATGATAAGAAAGGTAAAATTTCAATTTTGGACATATAGAATGTGAGGTAGGCATTGGCATTCCATGAAGTCAGAGACTTTCATCTGTTTTATTCGTACTATGCCCCTAACACCTAGAACCATGCCTGACATATAATGAGTTCCCTATGATTATATATTGACTAAATGTGTTGCCTCATTGTTACCTCCAGCTGGTAATGTGACCATTTGCTCAGTAATTGTCTCTACTCCCATTGAGGCAGGGAAGAGTAGGACAGTGAAATTCACACTCATCATCAGTGCTGCTTGTTAGTCAAGTTGGATTTAATGTGCTATGTAAGTGGAATGTCATAGTTTCATAGTCTTTAGATTCTGGCCTTGAACTCCTGAGAACTTACCCTACTGGATGTTGTGTGTTGTAGCACGACCACCTCCCCTGGACCTGAGAAACCTCTCTACTATCCGGGAACATTCATGTCTAACCAGGACTCACACTGTGCCTTGGTAAGTCTCTGATGGCTCTAAGAGGCATCATGCAGCACAGACACTCCCAGTCTTCGTAGTTAGTTCTCTGAGTAAATGTAGTTGAATCCCACTTAACCTAGCTTAAGCAAAAGAATGGATGAGGTTTATTATCACAAGCCAGAGTGCTTTGTATGTCACAAAGGAAGGAATATAACTGAATCTTCCAGGGTACTGGAATCAGGAAGGAAAGTGCTATTGGGAACCCAAGGACTCTCTCGCATGTCTCTCACATCTACTTCTCCACATGTGTTCATTCCTCTTTCTTTGGGTAACTCTGTTGCAAAATCCTCATGGCCAAAGATAGCTGCACCATAGATCCTGAGCTTATTTACATGCTACGATTCCAGTACCAACAGAGATAGGCGTTTTTTTCAATCCCAATTTGCAGTTCCGGGCAGAGGGAATTGTATTACTCCAGTGTGAGTGGAACCAGCTATGGCCCGGAGTAAGGGCCAGCAGTACCAACATGGCTTTCAGAAGCTCAACTTTGGGAAAGTAGTAGGAGAAGGGAATTCTCAGAGAAAGAGGCATGGTTCATGGGCTTGGTAGACAAACACTCAAATGTATCTGCACTCTCTCATCTCACCTTTAGAAGTTGCATTTCCAGAGCCGTGAGCCTCGCTCAGCAATTCTTTGGTTCATTCTAAATGCCACAGAACACAATCACTTTGTAAAGTAGAATTTTGCAGTGAGCTATATTTTTCAGCCTAGACTATAGAGAGACTCAGTCTGTGTTTCTGACTCAGGAAAAGGTTGAAGGTTGATTTGCAGTCTTGTCCTCATCCCATCAGAGGAATGTGTTTCCTGGTTACTTCGAATGGAAACAAGAGAGCCCCAAAAGGGTTTTTTTTTTCTTAAGTGATCTGATGCCTTGGTCTGTTTCTAGAAAGCTCATGAGCTGTGTCATGTAGCCTTTGAGAATTGGGAGTCATTTGCCCAAGAGTGGGACAGAAGCTTCTGGGCAGGCAGTCTCTACTGCTTTAGGAATTGCTTTGGCCGGAAGGAAGTTGTATCTGGAAGGGGAGGGCTGAAACCCCACGGGGGCCATGTTAGTTCCTGGCTGTCCTACAGAGCAGCTGTAAGACATTGCTTTGACCTCATCTATATTTTTGTTCTTAGCAATCGGACAAGCTTTCTCTCTCCAGAAAGAAATGGTATTAAATCTGCAAGACTTTTTGCCAATTCTGTTTCCAGAGAAGAGGAAGGAAGCTGCATCCAAATGGTAATCCTATACTTTTCATACTCTTCTTATTCTTCACCATGATTCTTATGAGTTCATTATAAAGGAAACATATTTCAGAAAGCCCCATGCAACCTTTACACAATCACTTAGTTGCAGTGTTTTCTAGACTGCGAACAAATCAATCTGAAGCTGGTTTTTTTTCCTGCAATCATTCAACTTCTTATACTATTTAGAGATCACAGTATTTCAAGAATACCCAGGGATGAGGCATGTGTAATGGGAAAATGGAAATGTCAGCAGTTCTTTTCACCAGGGCTGTGATATTCTGTTTGACCCCAATAGGTTTGTAGTTCCCTGGGTGTCTAGAATTTAAGTTGTGAAAACTCACACACTGGATGGTTCCTTCCACCAGACTACTTGGGTGGCCCTGTCCTTCCTGCCTCAGAACCTTTCCGAAGGATGAATCCCTTAGCATCCCTATGAGAGGGTGGTACAGTGTCTTAGGCTTTGGATGTGTCTGTTTTCTCTGGAGACTACTATTATAGGTTCTTTCTGTAGACCTGAGTGAATAGAGACCTGATATCTCTATCCTTCGATTAACCATTTATAGTTCAAGAGTCCTAATCTCTTTCTCCTGCCCTCTGATGTCCCTTCTATTCTCTTTACCTTGGATTCTACTGAGAACATGGGTTTTTGGAGAAAGGGGCTTTTAGCACCTCTGGCAATTATTAGGCACTGTAGCCAGAACTGGGCCCATTCTGCAGTTTAGTACATAGGAACTCTAGAGAGATTTCTCTAGAGAGAATCTCGGTTTGAACTATGACATTTTGAAAAGTGATCTTAGAAAGACAATGTTTGAGGCAACATGACTATATATGTTGGGTTGTTGGAAAAGTCATGATGTATTTTTTCTGTTTTTCGTTGCAAAAATGCGTCATGACTTTCCGACGATCCAATACTTTTGAGAAGACAGTTCTGCCCTCCTATACATGAGGATAATAGGCAATTCAAAATGTAAAAACATTAATCTCCACTGAAGCAGCAATTAAATGCTTCATTTTGCCTTTCTATTTGATAAAAAAAATTGTGCTGTAAGTGCACTTAACCATATGCAGATGGAAAGTGACTCATATACAAAACTGCTGTGATCTTCCCAATGTTTTTCACACTTAGTAATGGCCCTTGGGAAACATGTAGAAGAAAACACTTTTATAAAGGATGCTGACCAGCTGTGCTCTGTCTCCAGAGGACAGAAAAGGGAAGTGAATCTAAAACCTAATAGAAGCAAGTGCATAGTTATTCCAGACACTAGCAGTTTATTTCTGATCTCTGAGGTTGTGAGAAATACCAGTGTTTCATTAACAACACAGTTAAGGATTGATTTCTTGCCTAAGTTTATAATCATTGCTTAATGACCGTCTCTGCACATTACTAGGCAATACAAGATTGAGAACCCCGAACACTGGCTGAAGGAAGGTAGCTGTGAGGGAACCATCATATAAGTGTTTCTAGAGCAGCGGTTCTCAACCTGTGGGTCGTGACCCCTTTGGGGGTCGAACAACCCTTTCACAGGGGTCGCCTAAGACCATCAGAAAACACATATTTTCGATGGTCTTAGGAACTGAGACACCGCTCCTCTATCCGTCTCCATGCTTCAAGACAAAATTTCATTTATTTTTAATTAGAAATAAATATTTCACAATATATAATTACATATTGTTTTTGTGATTAATCACTGGTTTAATTATGTTCAATTTGTAACAATGAAAATACATCCTGCATATCAGATATTTACATTACGATTCATAAGAGTAGCAAAATTACAGTTATAGAGTAGCAACAAAAATAATTTTATGGTTGGGGGTCACCACAACATGAGGAACTGTATTAAAGTGTTGCGGCATTAGGAAGGTTGAGACCCACTGTTCTAGAGGCTATCCTATCTCATTCAAGTGTGTGTGTGCGTTTTAACTTCAGTAATAGGGTGTTTTCAAATGACTTACATTCTTTCACTTGTTCCACATAACAACCTTATATGGTAGACAAAACTAATATAATTTGATTTTGACTTTGCATAATCATGCATTATTTTTTTTTTCCTCTTTGAGGACAATTTCTGATCTGAGTGTAAAAATTTAGGTCAGGGGCTGAAATACAAGTTTTGTTTTATTGAAGTTATATATCCTTCTTTAGTTATTTTAAACATTTGTGACATTATGAAACATTTAGAAGAATGAGCATACTGTACTTATGTAATCCCTTTTCTGTGGGTTTTCAAACTCTTTAATTACAAGAGTTTTGTAAGGCTTTTACAGTAAAATTCTAAATGCCTCACTCGCACATTAAAATTTTTATACTTTTAGTTTTTAGATTATACTACAGTGAAACTGACTTCTTAGTGTGCAGTTCTGAGTTTTAACATGTATATGAATTTGTGTAATTAGCATCACAGTCAGGGTACAGAACAGCTCCACTACTCCAAGATACTGCCTCATACTACCTTTTTGTAGTCACATCCTCCCCACAACCCTACTCCCTGGCAACCACTGATGTGTTGTTATTCATCACTATAGTTTTTCTTTTTAAGAATGCCACGTAAATGGACTCATACAGTATGCCATCTTTTTTTTTTTAAGCTGAGCCATCCTGCCACCTGTTGGCAGCTGTTGGCAGCTCAGCTTGGGCCAGGAATCAGTATGCCATCTTTTGAAACTGGCTTTTTTCACTCAGCATAATGTCTTTGAGATTTATCCAAATTGTTGCATGTGTCAATAGTTCTTTATGTTTTATTGCTGATTAGTATTCAAGTCTATGAATGTACTAGTTTGTTTATCCACTCACCCACTGAAGGACATTTGGATTGTTTCAAGTTTTTGGGCAATTATGAATAGAATTGTTATAAACATTCCATTGCAGATTTTAAAAATATTTTTACTGCAGTAAGATGTACAACATAGAATTTCACATCTTAACCATTTAGATCTACAATTCAGTGGCATTAAGTACATTCACAATGTTGTGCAACCATCACCACCACCCATTTCCAGAACATTTTCATAATCCCAGACAGAAAACTCTGTCCCATTAAGCAACAGCTCCCTAGTCCTTCTCCCTCTAGTAACATCTATTGTTTTTTCTGTCTTTGTGAATTTGCCTAGTCTAGGTACTTCATATAAGTGGAATCATACAATATTTGTCCTTTTGTGTCTGCCTTCTTTCATTTAGCATAGTGTTTTCAAGAATCATCCATATTGTAGCATGTGTTAGAATTTAATTCCTTTTTAAGGCTAATACCCTATTGTATGCACAAACCACATACTATTTATTTATTCATCTACAGATGGACATTTGGGTTGTTTCTACCTTTTGACTATTATGAACAATGCTACTATGAACATAGATATACAAGTATCTGTTTGAATCTTTGCTTTTAATTCTTTCGGATATACGAGGTGTGATCAAAAGATACAGTGAATGTTTTAATTAAAAAACTATTAACAGTAAAAGACACATTGCCATTAATCCCTCAAAATATTCCCCCTCAATTTGAACACACTTATCCCATCATTCTTGCCACTTTCTGAAGCAGTTCTGGAAGTCCTCTTTTGTGAGTGTCTTTATTTGTGCTGTGGTGGCTGCCTCGATGTCCTGAATCAATTCAAAATGTTTTCCTTTCATGGTCATTTTGACTTTGGAGAAAAGCCAGAAGTCACATGGTGCCAGGTCTGGTGAATAAGGTGGATGAGGACACACCTTAATGTTTTCAATTGACAGAAATTGCCGTACCAGAAAGGATGTGTGACACGGAGCCTTTCTGTTGTGATCACAAAATATGGTGAATGCTGCTGCCGAGTGCCATCCAAGGTAAGGCAATTTCTGTTAAATAAAAGCATTATGGTGTGTCCTCATCCAACCTTATTCACCGGATCTGGCACCGTGCGACTTCTGGCTCTTCCCCAAAGTCAAAATGATTGAGGACATCGAGGCAGCCATGACAGCACAACTAAAGACACTCATGAAAGAGAACTTCTAGAACTGCTTCAGAAAGTGGCAAGAACGATGGGATAAGTGTGTTTGAAGAGAGGGGGTATTTTGAGAGGCATTAATGGCAATGGGTCTTTTACTGTAATAATTTTTTTTAAAGATTTTTATTGGGGCATTGGGACGATGGGAACAGTGCTGGGAAATTGGGGGAAGGGGAACAGGCAAGTTGCTGTCGTTTTGTTCTTCAGTCTAGTTGTGGAGGACGTTGCTTCACTGGCCCAAGTTGGCACCATCATTGCGCTCTTCCCGGGCGAGGCAGATCAGTTGCTGGCTGCTGGCTACACACGGTAGCCCATGGCAACCCACTGCCGCAGGGGCTGCAGCCTACGCCGTCGCCGGCGACTCATGGAAGCCCAGCTCCAGGTTGAGCTGTTGTTCAGCATCTTAGCTGTAGAGGGCAGTGTTTCTGGCCCTCATATATGGGATCCGAACCGCGGCCCTCTGGCATCCCAAGCCAATTCTTAACCATCGTGCCACTTGGCTGGCCCTCCTGTAATAATTTTTTATTTAAATATTCACCGTATCTTTTGATCACACCTTGCAGACTTAGAGATGAAATTGCTGGATCACATGGTAATTTATGTTTAACTTTTGAAGCACCGCCAAACCATTTTCCATAGTAGTAAAACCATTTTATATTTCCAACAGCAATGCAAAATGGTTCCAATTTCTCTACATTCTCTCGAGCACCTGTTATTTTCTGGTTTTTGTTTGTTTGTTTTATATAATAGCCATCCTGATAGGTGTGAAGTGATATCTCACTGTGGTTTTTATTTGCATTTCCCTGATGACTAGTGATGTTGAGCATCTTTTCATGTGCTTATTGGCCCTATGTATATCTTCTTTGGAGAAAGGTCTAATCAAGTCCTTTACCCATTTTTGAATTGGGTTGTTTATTTTGTTATAGAAGTTTTTAAAAAATATATATTATGGATATTAACCCCTTATCAGTTAATGACTTGCAAATATTTACTCCCATTCCATGGGTTGTCTTTTCATCTCTTGACAGTGTCCTTATACACACAAAAGTTTTTAATTTTGATGAAGCCAGAGACTCTCAAGTAGTTCAGTGTAGTCAAATACTGGTAGAATGTAGATGGTGGTTATATAGGTGTTCACATATTTTCTTCAGTCTGGCTGATTATTCAAATATTTTCATAAAAGTAAGTTGAAAAAATAAACCCCATGAAAGGACAAGGAATAAAGGCAAGAAAAGGAATAAACAAAATGAACAACAAAACTAGACAGGATCAACACCAACCTACGTGGCTCTTTTAAAAGACGAAAACTGAATATAACAAACCAAGGAAAAGCAATTGATATAAACAATATTAAGAATGTAAAAGAGGTAATAATTGCAAACACATCAGAGATAAATGATGTAAGAGAATATTATAAACAACTTCATACCAGTGAATTTGAAAACTAGTGAAGATAGGGAAAGCCTTAGAAAAATATTATCAAAAAACTGACTCACATAGAAATAAAAAGCCTGAATGATTATATAACCATTAGATAAATGGAATCATTAGGGAAAGTTTTACTGCAAAGGATTACAAGACCCAAACAACTTTACAGACACTTTCTACCAAAAGAAAGAGATCATTGCATTCTTTTATAAACACTTCCAGGGACTGGAAAAAGAGGAAATATTACCCAACTTATTTTATAAGGCTAAAACAACTTGATACCAAAACAAACAGAGATAACATAAGTAGAAAATTATAAATCAATCTCACTTATCAAAATAGGTTAAAAAAATACTCAACTAACGAATAGTTTGGGTTGCTTTCACTTTTTGGCTATTATGAAAAATGCTGCTATAAATATTCATGTACAAGATTTGGTTAGACACATTCTTTCTTAGAATTTTTTATGCTAAGTGAAATAACACGGAAAAAGTCAAACCATATGATTTCACTCATGTGGGATATAAAAGTAAAAGCAAGAAACAAGCAAGACAAACAAACAAAAACTTGGACACAGACCACAGTTTAGTGGTTACCAAGGGAGGGGGATGGTAGAAGAGGGTAAAGGGGGGTCAAATATATGGCGATGAAAGGAGATTGACTTTTTGTGGTGAGCCCACAATGCAATATATAGATGATGTATTATAGAAATGTACACTTGAAACCAATATAATTTTACTAACCCATGTCACCCAAGTAAATATAATTGAAAAACAAAATAAAATGTGGTATAGACACATAATGGAATGTTAATGCTGCCATACAATGAAATCAATTATTAATACATGAAACAACATAAAGGCAGCCTACTGAATGTGAGAAGATACTTGCCAACGATATATCTGGTAAGGGGTTAATATCCAAAATTAATAAAACACTCATTCAACTCAACACCAAAAAGACGCCATTTCACTGGCCCATGTCGGTATTATTATTGCGCTCTTCCCTGGTGAGGCAGATTGGTCGCTGGCCACTAGACAGCCGCTCGAAGCGGCTCCTGGCAGCTCACGCTGGCTGCTGGCCGCTCTCGGTAGCTTTATGGCAGTCCACTGCAGCTCCATTGCAGCTTACGCTGTCGCCTGCGACTCTCGGCAGCCCAGCTCCAGGTCGAGCTGTTGTTGAGCATCTTAGCTATAGAGGGCACAGCGTCACTGGCCCACATGTGGGATCTGAACCGGGGCCTTGCTGCTCAGAGCTGGCGTCCCAAGCCAAGCCTTAACCAACACTCCACTCGGCCTCCAATTTGTACTTTTTTTAAAAATTATTTTTTATTATGAAATACACATTTTTTAGAATTAGTTTCCGCTGTACAACACAGTGCAATAGTTATACTTTTTACCTTTCGAAGTGGCAACCCCCCGCCCCCAATCCGCCACCCCATTTTCCCCCAATATCATACATATCTATTACAAATCCGTTGACTTCACTCCCACACTATACTCCACGTCCCATGACAATATATATATTCACTTTATAGTTGACATACAATATTATACAACATCAGCTTCAGGTGTACAGTGCAGTGATCAAGCCTCTTCCCCATCCATGATGCAAGACATGTGACCACCTGACACTCTACAAAATATTCACAACATTATCAATTACATTCCTTGAACTGTCCCCCATGTCCCATGGCAACACTGCAGCTGCGTATTTATGCTATCCAGCCCCCTCCCTCTCCCTCATCCCCACCCCCCCAACCAACAGCCATCAACTGTACCCCCACATCTCTGAGACCACCTCTGTTCCAATTTGTACTTCTTAATCCCTTCACCTTTTCACCCTGCCCCCCAAATCCCATCAATTACCCTGATAAATCTGGCACCCATCTGACACCATACAGTTATTACAATATTATGACTATATTCCTTATGCTATACCCTACATCCCCATGACTACTGTGTAACAACCAATGTGTACTTCTTAATCCCTTCCCCTTTTCACTCACCCTGAAACCCCCTTCCATCTGGCAACCATCAAAATGTTCTCTGTATATATGCATTTGGGTGTGTGTGTGTGTGTGTGTGTGTGTGTGTGTGTGTGTGATATGTTTATTTTGTCCTTTAGATTCCAAACATAAGTGAAATCATAATGCATCTTTCTCTGTCTGACACGCCACTCAACACAGTATCTTCCAGGTCTATTCATGCCACTGCAGATGGCAAGAACCCATTCCTTTCCATGGCCAAGCAATGTTGTATTGTATATATGTACCACTTCTCTTTGTCCATTCATTCATTGATGGACACTCAGGCTGCCTTCGCCTCTTGGCCATTGTAAACAATGCTGCAGTGAACAGATGGATGCACAAATCCCCTCGAAGTAGTATTTTGGTTTTGGGATTACTGGATCCTTCTTTGTCTCTTGTTGTTTTAAAGTCTATTTTTTCTGGTATAAGTATTGCTATCCCAGATTTTTTGCTTGTTTGTTTCCATTTTCATGAAATGTCTTTTCCCCATCCCTTTACTTTCTGTCTTAGTGTGTGTTTCAATCTGAAATGAGTCTCTTGTAAGCAGCATATATAATGGTCTTGTTTTCTTATGCATTCAGCCACCCTATCTCTTGATTGGAGCATTTAATCCATTTACATTGAAAGTAATTGTTCAGAGATGTGTAGTTTTTGCCATTTTATTCATATTTTTGATCCCTTTATTTTTTCCATCTTCAAGAAATTCCTCTAAGATTCCTTGTAATACTGATTTGGTGGTAATGAACCCCTTTAGCTATTTTTTGTCTGGGAAGCTCTTTATCTGTCCTTCAATTTGAAACAATAGCTTTGCTGGGTAGAGTAGTCTCAGTTGTAGGTCCTTGCTTTTTATCATTTTCTAATATTTCCTGCCAATCCCTTATGGCTTGCAAAGTTTCTGTTGAGAAATCAGCTAATAGTCTTATGGCAAATCAGCTTAAATAGTCCCTTGTAAGTAATTAACTGCTTTTAAGATCAGTGCTATTCCATTTGTGAAGCTGGTGATAAGTCCGTGGCTAAGTGCTGCACACGTTATCACTGTTTGTATTATATGAAATATCTTTAAATGCATTTGGTGATAAAAAAAATCTTTATGTCCTTCCAATATTGTGTTTCCATCTTAAATTAGCCAGGGTCAGTTTCAGTGGTTTGCAAGGAAGAGCTTGACTGGTTCTGGGTTGAAAGAAGAAAATAGGAGAATTCTTTACCGTTATTCAAATAGGAAATGGGGAATGGCATTTGAAAAAAAAAATGAAGAAAAAATACATTTGGGGTGACTTTGCTAGAAATTTCATAAATGTGGTTTATCTTTTCAGGATTTAATCTCTTAAGGTGTCATGGAATTGTCAGATCCATAAAAAAGATTTTGGCCCACTGTTTACATGGTGAATAAAGATATATATAGGTTCATGTGAAGGCTGAATTGGCTATTCTGTATTTCAAATGCCTCCTCTCACTCAGATGTGCAGGCTGATCTATGCAGGTATTATCAGACCAGTCTGTTATGATCTAACAGCAGCTGTTCAAGTGAAGACACAGCTCACCCTCCTTCCCTTAGGCAGCCTGGCCAGACATTGTTAACCTAAGCCCTGTGATGTTGGTTTCCAGAAGCAACACCGAACTGCTAACTCTGTGAACAGTAGTACTCTGATATGGAAAAAGAAATGCAGCCTGGATTATTTATCTCTGGACTTCAATACAACGTCACCATCCCCTGTACCACGGGTAGGAAGTTCTTTGTGTCTGACAATTCTGAGATTTCATTTCTTTTCAGATTTTTCTGATGATTCAATCATGCATGTGCTCTTTGAAAATTTTTAAACATACAGACATGTATAGTGAAGAATATTAAAATCAGCCCTGATTCTGCCTCCCTGAAATCCTGCTGTATTCCCTCTGGAATATATTCTTTGGTTGTACAAGCATACCTCATTGTATTGTACTTCGCTTTATTGTGCTCCATGGATGTTGTGATTTTTACAAACAGTAGGCAAAACCCTCCACCAGAAAAAAGATTATAACTTGTTTTATTGCAGTGGTCTGGAACTGAACCTGCAATATCTCCAAGGTCTGCCTGTATATGTATAAATGTGTTTAGTATCCATGCCCTTCAAAACTTGGACCATAAAGTTTATCAAAAAATTTCTCCTTTCGGCCGGATGGCTCAGTTGGTTAGAGCACATGATCTTAACAGCAAGGTTGCCGGTTCGACTCCCACATGGGATGGTGGGCTGCTCGTGCCCCTTCCTCCCCGACTAGACTGAAAATGGCAACTGGACTTGGAGCTGAGCTGTGCCCTCCACAACTAAGACTGAAGGACAATAATTTGACTTGGATCTAATGGGTCCTGGAAAAACACACTGTTCCCCAATAAAAATTAAAAAGATTAAAAAAAATTTCTCTGGCAGAGATGAGGACGAAATCAAGGGCACATCATGCAGACGAGGGCCCTGGTTAGGGAAGAAATCATGGCCTAGTCTGGCGAGACTCTGGGGTTTGGTGACAGGAGCTCTCAGTTGGAATTGTAACCCCTCAGTAAAGGGCCAGGTTGGGCAGTTTTGACTCCTTTGGGTAGTATTCTCATCTGTAAAATGGGTATCAGAAGGAATAACACCTATGTCTATGCCTGTTGTGAAGATTAAATGAGTTAATACATGTGAGTGACATTAGCCATTAACGAGTGTCACCCACTGCACAGTGTAAGCCATGGAATGAATGAATGAATGGTAATCAGTGGACAGCAGCTACATATTGTTGAGAAATGGATGGTCATAATCTAAACTATGCCTAACAATGTTTTGTTTGATGGGAAAAGCAGCCTGCTGAACAGGATGTACAGTATGATTGTGTGTGTGTGTGTGTGTGTGTGTGTGTGTGTGTGTGTGTGTAAATAGCCTGGAAGTCTCCCCTTCCCTTTTGTCAAATGAACTCCCACTTCTTCTTTACCTTTAATTTCATTCCAAAATCCTGAACTGATACTCCAGAAAAGTTGGTCAGAAATTGAGACCAATAAGTACCAAAGGTGCATTAGTCCGTTTTGGTAGGCTGCGCAATCAAAACAAACAACTCTCAAATCTCAGTGGCTTACAACAGCAAAGGCTTTTTCAGTTTTTGCTAATGGGACACTACAGGCCAGGGCCTTGGTGTTCTAGGTCATCTGCAATCCAGGGCCCAGGTAGGAGGATAAACTCCAGCTGAGGCATGCTGTTCTCCTGGCAGGTGAAAAAGATTGAAGAATCACAGGACGCCTCTTTTTGCTATAGGATTGGCACGTGTCACTTCCACTCACATTATATTGGTCAAAGCGAGTCAATGGTTAGAGCAAAGTTGAAGGGAACAGAGGTGAAGAGATATTTATACACAGACACACAAAGTATAATAACGCTTCTGCAGGGAACAACCCAGGAAGAAGGGGAAGCAACTACTTGACAACATTGTAATCTATATAAGGACTGAGATTTTCCTGCAGTTTTTTAAAGATTTTATTGAGGAATTGGGGGCGGGGAACAGTGTTGGGGAATCAGGGAAGGGGAACAGACAAGTTGCTGTCCTTCTGTTCTTCAGTCTAGTTGTGGAGGACACCACTTCATTGGCCCATGTGTGTATTATCATTGTGCTCTTCCCGGGAAAGGCAGTTGCTCACTGGCCATTGAACGGCCACTCACGGCGGCTCTCGGCAGCTCACGAAAGCTCACGCCAGCTGCTGGCCAGCCCCACTTCAGCCTACGCCATTGCCGGAGACTCATGGCAGCCCAGCTCCAGGTCGAGGTGTTGTTCACCATCTTAGCTGTAGAGGGCGCAGCGTCACTAGCCCGCATGTGGGATCCAAACTGGGGCCCTGCTGCTCAGAGCTGGCGTCCCAAGCCAACTCTTAACCAATGCGCCACTCAGCCAGCCCTCCTGAAGTTTTAATTCAATGTAATGAACACCTTTTTGTTCTCCCCCTTCAGAAAGTTCTCCTTTCAGAAGACCAAAGAGTAGACTATGTCCAAGTGGATGAGCAGAAGACGCAAGCTCTCCAGAACACAAAGCAGGAGTGGACGGATGAGCGTCAATACAAAGCGTAAGCACTGAGGGCTTGGGAAGCGCATGACACAGGGTAGCTTGGGGCTTACTTTGAGGTTTTTCACTAGAATCACACGAATGTTTAATGCAGGTCAAGAACCAGAGAGCATGTGTAATTTCCGTGGGCTTGGCAAGAACCTTTAGGAGAGAGGACCTGTTTGTACACTTGAATGGGGAGAAGAAGGAAGCAATGCCCTTCCAGAGGGCGATCTGAGGGGTTCCAGCCCCTACCCCCACCCTCGCCTGTCAACAGTTTCCTTCTCCGGCCACACTTGCCCATACCCAGAGCCTCAGGGATGCTTAGAATTGGCTCCACAATCACAAGAGGCAGAGATGGGAGGATTCCACAGCAACGGACTGGGATTAGAACACTCCATTCTTTCAGGCAGGGTAGGAACAATAAAAACAAGACTTGAGGGAATATTTTACCCAGAGTTTGGTTAAAAATCTCTCCAATGGAGAATTTGGAGTGCAGATTGAAGCCAGTATTGCTAACTGACAGGAAGACATCGTTTGACTCCAATACCTGAAATTGACCTCTCTCCTGTGCTTCCATTGAAATTATAAATTTTACTAACAGAGAAGCCCCTGGAGACCATCTTGTTTGTCCCAGCCCCAAAGTCATGGTTGAGGACATCAAGCCCAGCGATGGTAGGAGAATCTGCACTCCTTACTACAAAGACTCCAGCAGAAAAATCATTTCTATCCCCCCAAGAAAGACAATTCAAGTGACAGGGGCAATGGGTCCTGGGCTGCATGATGAGCATATCAGATGGCACCAGTGGCTCTAAGGACATCATGGTTAAGCAGCTACCTGTGGCTGGGTATTCTGTTGCTGTTGGCCTTTTTCCAGCATGCTTTCACATGCATCATCTCCTCTCTTCCCCTAAAAGACCTCGGAAGCTCGGCTTGGCAGAGATTGTTTCTCCCACTTTGAAGAAAAGAAAGCAGAACCAGAGGAGGGCGCACTTTGCCCAGGATCACTCATGGAGCTGAGATACAGAGTCAGGCTTAGGATAGAGTTGGCCAGACTGCCCACTGCGGGCTCATTCCACTGTCTCACAATGCTTCTGATGATTTTGATGAAATCAATCAGTTTGGTCCACCTTGGAGACCTGTGGGAAACACGTACAGACATGAGATGAGTCATCATCTCCTCTCCCTTTCATAGGATTTTGAGCAGGTGCTTTTATACTTGAAAGTTATGTGTGTCAAGCCAGGGTTTCTTTGAGTGTTGTTCAAACGGGGCACTCTAACTTAATCAGTAATTACCATTAGAAATACCTCCTGATGATCAATGTGAAATCCATTCTTGGATTGTGTGGTCCCCTTGCAATTAATTGTTGCCACCATCGGAAGGCACAAATTGTCCCTGGCTCTTCTATGCTGGACCCAAGCTTGTCAGTGATAAAGAGTTATAACTAGGAAAAAAACACAAACAAAAAAACAATGAGTTGCATTCTCAGGTTTCCTGGCTAATTTTTCCCTTCTGCTTTAGTGGTGACTGGGTCCTGAGAGTGCAAACATTTCCTCCTTGCAGTGAGGGCATTGTTTCACCCCTTCCTTTATGGGGCACTGGGGTTCAGGGGACTCAGGGGAAAGTCTCAGTCAGGCACGGGTTTTACTTAATGCCGCTCCTTGATCCTTCTGAACACCTATGGCCAGAAGACAGATCTGCATAACTGGCAATTAAGCAGATACTGGTCCTCCATTTCGACTGGCACTGTGTCTTATAATATGAGAATGGATCAAATAGGCCAGGGGTTGGCAAACTGCGGCTTACGATCCACATGCGGCTCTTTGGGTACATTCCGTCTCAAAAGTTTGCCGATCCCTGGAAGGGCCAATCCTGTCCCTTATAACAATTTAAAAATTATTCTAGAGCCATAAATATATTTTTACATAATCATCATTATGTGAATAATAACCTTTAAAAATTTTATGAACGAAACTATGAAGGTTTTGTTTTATTTTCATTTTCAATTTTACTTCAGAGGCTCGAGAGCTACAGTTTGCTGACCCCTGGTGGCTCTTCTGTCTCAAAAGTTTGCTGACCCCTGAAATAGGCAGTTGGTTCTATGATATTCAGGGTTACTCAGGGCAGTTGTAGGCTTTGCTGCACGGTTTTGGGGCTTCAGACTGCCCCAAAGGTGAGTAAATGCCAAAGTCTTGGTATTTCAGATCATAGAAGAAGTAATTTTGATGTCTAAAGCAGCAGGATCTGGTGACATCATTTTATTCCTGGAGCAAGGTGGTGGGAAATTGCTGAGTTCTTTTTTTTTTTTAAACATTTTTATTGGGAAATTGGGTGATGGGAACAGCGCTGGGGAATCGGGAAAGGGGAACAAACAAGTTGCTGTCCTTTTGTTCTTCAGTCTAGTTGTGGAGGACGTTGCTTCACTGGCCTAAGTTGGCACCATCATTGCGCTCTTCCCGGGCGAGGCAGATCAGTTGCTGGCTGCTGGCTACACACGGTAGCCCATGGCAACCCACTGCAGCAGTGGCTGCAGCCTACGCCGTCGCCGGCGACTCACGGTAGCCCAGCTCCAGGTTGAGCTGTTGTTCAGCATCTTAGCTGTGGAGGGCAGTGTCACTGGCCCTCATATGTGGGATCCGAACCGGAGCCCTCTGGTGTCCCAAGCCAGCTCGTAACTAGTGTGCCACTTGTCTGGCTCTGCAGAGTTCCTTGAGTTGAGTCCTTAGTGAACCCAGACAGGACAATGAGAGGGCTCCCTGCACCCTGTGGACAGTTCCATGTCACCACACACACGGACTGCAGTCTGTCAAGAGCTGCCTTCTTCCCTATGTGACCTGCCAAGAGTCACGGAGCCTGAGGCAAGAATCCAGGGCTGCAGACTGCCAGTTCCCATAAGTGGCCACTTTCTTATGTGTGGGGCACCTGTGTTTAGGTCGCTGAGTACCTGACAAAGACCAGTGCAGAAAAATTGCATACCCAAATGTTAAGAATACACAAGATTAAAGATAGGATGGGAAAGAAATATATAGCTGAAATTATGTCGCTAGTGAAATGTCATCCAATTGACAAAAAGAGAAAATCTGTTTCTATAAAACATTTACAGGGACACGTTTACTGCATGAAGCAACACACTTCAGTGGTGTGACTTGTTTGGAAGTGATTATTTAGGTATTTAAAAAAAGACTTCACCCTCAGTTCCAAGGTGTATGCAATTATGTCCTGCTTTGATAAAACTGCTAATGGATGGCTACTCAAAAGCACAATGATTCAGGGATACAAAGTTCAGGTAGTTTTTGAGCTGACAGCAGCATATGCTCCTGAGAAAGGCACCGTAAGTCAAAATGATGCCGCCCAAATCTTGTTTCACGGTGGATTGTAATCCACATGTAACAGAGGGCTATGATTTTGACCAGGTTCTGAGATTGTTTTTCAACAGAAATCATCCCACATTCCATCCTGAGTCAAGTGAACATGGCATTTCTGTACACTGCAGGGCACTCCTTTCTAAAACATTTGAGAATCAACAGGACAATGCAGCAATTAATTCCACATTGTTTTCTGTAGTTCCCCTCTCCTTTGTTTCCTTCCATCGCGTTTTGTTAGGAAATTCCTCCAGATCAAGAGTTGTGTGGTATAGAAGGGCATACCAAAGGGTCTCAAGTCTGTGAGTCCCTAAGTCCACAAGCCCTCAGGAAATTTGGGAGTTAAGCTTTCCTTGGGGAGGGAGGAACCCTGTGGGAGTCAGTGTCCAGGCCACTATACTGTGGAGCAATGATCAACTGAATCGTGGCCTTTAGGCCCCAGTTGAGACCAAAGGCTCCCCTCAGGCATGCCTATCTCCTTTCAAGGCCTCCTCGGTCCCCGTTCATACCATCTTTGTACCCACAATCACGCTGGTTTAAAAAAAATTGTTGTCTTTTTACTCTTTCATTTCTGGCATTAATAAAAGTCTTATAAGGAGGGATCATGACTTAACTTCCTTCTTATTTGCTTTAAATGATGACACTGAATGTAAATACAGGACATGTTTTGAAAGCTGAGTATGTGAAAATAGACTTCATTGCCATTTTCAAGTACAACAACTAAACCTGACTCATGTGGCATGAATTAAATACATGTTATTTCACTGCAAACAGTTGAGCAGGTGACTGTAATGAGTACTGCTTCTGCTTATCCAAACTATGTTGACATATTTTTTCTTTGTCAGAAACTAGTCTCAATAATTGGCAGTAAAATCAACGGCCTTCCCTGATACCAAGTGTAACATGACCTTTGTTATTCCTGACATTAAAAATCAATACCCCCTAGCCTTCCTCTCCCCAGCAGGGGTCTTTTGTGCCACTACCTCCCTTTTCTCCATGGCTGAAGCTCCCAGCTGCCCTGGGTTCTGAGTCAGTGGCATCTCTAGGCCATGAAGCAAGGAAAGGACAATTAGTAGTGGGGGCTTGGGTTTGGGGGAAACAAGCCAAAGGAAGAGAGAGCTTAGGCCCAGGAAATCCTGAGGCTGAAAGGAGGAGAAACCACATGAAATTCCCCACCTTAGTGATGTATGAGACCAACCACCATGCTTTTACCCAACACACACTCCAGACCAAGCCCCTGATCCAAATAAGAGCATGTTGGCCCACAAGGCTGACCCAAAAATCGGGGGCTGTGAAACGCAAACTAAAAGGTCTTTGAACTCCAGGCCTCTTATATCCTGGTCCCTTTAATAGACAACAAATAGGAATTTTCCAACTTCCTATTTCTTTATTTCCCTTGATCTTAAATTGCACTTATCATTATTCCTTATTTTCATTTGTGTCATTTGTTTTATAAATTTAGTTATTTTCTGCAACAGAGAGTGTGGCATTGGTGCAGGCTGGACAAGGGGTCCAGTGGGAAAGCAGACCTGGTATACAGACCCCACATATGTGGGCACTTCATTTATGACATAGGGGGCACTTAAGAGCCTCCGGCAAGTGACATCCTTTCCATTAAAAGGTGTTGGGTCATTGGATGGATATCCATGTGGATAGTAATGAACCTTGACCCCACTGCCTCCGCGCACAAACATTGATTGCAGGTGGACCTCAATGGGGAAGACAGAACAATCACTTTGACATGTTCCCTCTGCCTTATCAGATCCATTTTGTTTCTATCCACCACTAATGTTTTGGTCTATGTTTCATGGTCAAAACTTCTATTTTAATGAGTTTTAGTGTTTGTTTGCCTTCGTGTACAAGAACACAACCTAACTGATTTATGTGTGTCTTGAAATTGTAAATTATTTCAATTTTGTTCTTCAGTTTGAGACTTTGAATTCATTGTCATAGTCTGCGGTGATAGAAGTCAGAATAGTGGTTACCTCTATTGGGGAAATTATTGATTGGAAAGGGTCACAAGAGAACTTTCTGGAATGATGGAAACATTCTGTATCTTAATCTGGGTGCTGGTTATATGGGTATTTACATATGTAAAAATTTACCAATCCATAAATTTAATTTTTGTATACTTCATGCAAATTATACCTCAACAAACCAGTTAGCATGAAAGAAAAACAAAAAACCTAGAGGAATTAAAAAGTTAATGTAAGAAACACAACCATAAAACATTAGGAAAAAACTACAGGAAAATTTTTTATTAGCTTGGGTATGAAAGACCTTTAGCAGTAAGTCACACACACAAAAACGAAGCAATAAAGGAAATACTTGTTTCCTTTGATAATTCATTTAATTAAACACATTTAGTAACCACCTGCTATGGAACAGGCATTCTTGTAGGTACTGTGGATACATGAGTGAGTGAAAGAAAGATCCCTTTTCCTAAGGAGCTTATGTTCTGGTAGGATGTGAGGGCACTATTGGTGCTCCACCCAAACCCTCTAGGACAGCGGTTCTCAACCTGTGGAATGACCCCTCCACAGGGGTCGCCTAAGACCATCGGAAAACAAAAATATATTTACATTACAATCATAACAGTAGCAAAATTACAGTTGTAGAGTAGCAACGAAAATAACTTTATGGTTGGGGGTCACCACAACAATGAAGAACTGTATTAAGGGGTCACGGCATTAGGAAGGTTGAGAACCGTTGCTCTAGGACCTCTTTCACTTTTTGATGTTCCCCTTTCTGGCTTCAATGTGCTTTTGCTCCTAACAGTCCACACCTGGGACTCTCAGAGGACAGCCCTTCAGGCAGTTCCTAGAGCTGCTTTACCTGCAAGAGGAGAGGACTAGAAGTGCCTTGGAATGGCCTTTCCCTGCCCTTCTCTATGAGGGGGACAACATTCCAAAATCCCAGCTCCTTTACTTCGGGTTGGGACAAAGTCTAAGTAGAAACTGCACTCCAAAGTTCCCTGGTGGAATCTTTCCTCCCTCTGAGATTGCCCCCTCACTTGGACTTGTCCCCTTCTCTGTCCTGTGTCCCCCACTCTCCTGGTGTTACTGAGCAAGGGCTTACTACCCGACATGCACAGAAGCCAATACCATGGCACTGGCTTTTGAGAAAATGAAGGTGTTATTTTGAGGTCAACCAGCAAGGTGAAAAGAGGCCAGGCTCAAATCTGTCCCCCGATCCAGGGCTTGGGGTGAGATTTAAGGGGGTTTCAGCACCGGATTTTCCTGGACAAGTCCATCACTTCTGAAAGGGTTCCAGCTTCAGGTTCTTACGTTCTTGTCCTTTGGTTCTGTAGTGGGGGAGCAGTTAAGGGTTCACAAGTGTTCCTTATAAATAGTATATCCAAAGTTTAAACATTGATTCCAGGTCTCGTTAGAAATACGATAGAACCAGTTTGAGCTGGTTCTGTGGTTACAATGAGCTTAGCCTTTGGTGAA